ACTCACGTCGGGCGCTCTCTTGAAGAAGAACAGCGGCATCAACATATGATAACCAGCATGGGTTCCAAACAGTAAGCTCTCGCAGCGTGGATCTTTAAGCTATGTCTTGCAAGCTGCGTGGTGCAAGGTATGTTGTGCAAACGACTGCGGGTGGCCGCAACTTTGGACGAGCGGAATCGGTACGACAAAGATGGAGTACGATGCCGAACAACAACTGTCGTCCAACACCGACAGCGGCCGCAGTTGGGCAGGCGGCCTGTCAGGCCTCGGAACAAATTAGCGAACACATGCCACATTTATCCGTCAACGCCTCCCCCTCCCCCCAATGTTCAAAGTTGGCGGTGGGTCTGATGAGATGCACTTCGACCGCAGTCTCCCCCGCGCGTGCCAACATTGAGTTTGGGGGGGAGGGGGAGTGTTCAGTAATTGTTTCCCTCTACCGCTTCTCTCTGTCTCAAGAGGACAACGTACGCGGCGACACCGACCGCGAGTCCTGTTCAAGGTGAGCAGGACATGCTGCCGGTTTTCGTTCTCCGTGCCCATTTCGATACCACCGAGCTCGGGGACTAGGGACTCGTCCGCTGGCAAGGGGGAGCGCTTTCTACCCAATGTCGGCCCCGCTAGAGGAAGAACAACGGCATACGCATCAACTTTCGGAGCTCTGCGCGGATTTCTTGGATGCGCGCTGGAGCCTTTTCCCTGGCGCGCGGGGCGCGCCATGGGCGGCGCCGGAGGCGCCGCAAGGTGGTCCAGCGCAGATGCACAGATCCACGAAGTCCTCGCGGAACTCCGAAAGTTCAATGCCCATGCACTTTCTTCCTCTTCAACCCCCAACGTCAGGCCCCCTCGCCACAGAGGACGCTCGTCCCAACCGAAGAGGAGGACCAAGTGTATACCCAGGACGCCTCAACGATTTTGCAGGTCTCTGAAAGAATTTGTTCTCATTGCGAGAAGTGGCCCCTCGAGAAGACATCCGTCTGAGAATGCTGCACCGTGCCAAAACGCACTCCTGGGAGTCAGCGTCGCAGATCAGCGTGACAGTTGCGCCTTGACCACCCTAAATCGTGCCAGAACACCAATCTTGGGACCTCAACACCGCGGAGCAACGTTACCGCTGCTGCATAACAGCCCCAAGTCGAGCCAGAACGCCATCCCTGGAACTTTGACAATACGAATCCGTGAAACGGTTGCAAACTTACAGGACGAATGCGCGCGGCGCCGAAGCGACAGCCACAATTTAAACAAAACACCTTGCATCACTGAACCTGCTGCTAACTCTTAAGACGAATGCGCGCGGCGCTTATGCGAGACCCGCATGTTGAAAACCACCCGCCCACCGTCCTTGGAACCCTTGCGCACTCCCAAAAATAATGTGCGCGGCGCTTACGCGAGAACTGCATTTTGGAAGCGGCCCGCCCTCCATCCGTGAAGCTGTTCCACACTGCAAGCTTCCATCTCAGACATTGTGAGGAAGTCTCGAGCGAAACGCCTGGCCCGACCTGCCGACACGTCTGGAGCTGCGACAGGGAGGAAGTAGTCAGAAGGACGAAGAATTGACGAGGAGGAGGACGAGGAGGAGGGTTGCACACGCTGGGGACGTCTCAGGGAGGAGAGGGGGCGATGCTTGTGCTTTCTGCTTTCGTGCAGACCCCCGTCTGGTTGCTGCGGATGTCTCGGCCATCAGTGCGGTCATTCTCGCTCACGAGTCGCAGGCCGCCGCCCACGTGCCTGCGACGGGCAGTCCCACGACGGCACTGCCCCGCCCTCTCGCTGCTGTGTCTGAACGCAGGAGTCGGAACCCCCGAGGGGGGCTGGCGGATCATGGGACTTGCTCATCATGGCATAACTTGCCGTCTGCGCGATGCTCTCCTCTCGTAGCGCTGTCCATCCTTTTTCCGCTCGCACTCACTTTTAGCCTGGGTCTCGACGTTTCCGACAACCTTTTATGGACCGACCGATCGACCGACCGAGGAGGAGGGAGTACCAGGAGGAGGGAGGGAGGAGGAGGAGGGGGAGGAGGAGGAGGAGGAGGAGGAGGAGGAGGAGGAGGAGGAGGGGGAGGAGGAGGAGAGGAGAGGAGGAGGAGTGGAGGAGGAGGAGGAGGAGGAGGAGGAGGAGGAGGAGGAGGAGGAGGAGGGAGGGAGGAGGACGAGGAGAAGGAGAAGGAGGAGGGGCGCCTGTGCTCCGCGAGCACGAGGGAGAACGTCAGGTTGGCGTCGCCCAGGACGAGCGCATCGGAAAACGGATCCACGAGCTCGAGGCAGTTTCGCCGGCCCATCACCTCAACTGGTCAGGGCCAGGGCTGACCTGGGCCAAACGCACGCACCATGGTCGTGCTGATCCACCTCCTTACACAAACACGCACGATCAGACATCTTGCTATAAGGAGGAGAAGGGGGAGGAGGAGGAGGAGGAGGAGGAGGAGGAGGAGGAGGAGGAGGAGTTTCTGGGCATGCTCTTCGTCGATCGCTGATGGTCCTAGAGTGCCCCAGGCCCTCTGCGAGCCCTCGCGGCCAGGAAGGGACAAACGAACTGCGTGGGCCACCTGCTGGCGAAGCGACTTCTTCTTCTTCTTCTTTTTCTTCTTCTTCTTCTTCTTCAGTGTGCCTACTGCAAGTCAATGGCGCGCACCAGGAGGAGGAGGAGGGGGGGAGGAGGAGGAGGAGGAGGAGGACGACGAGGAGGAGGAGGAGGAGGAGGAGGAGGAGGAGGAGGAGGAGGAGGAGGAAAGAGCAGGAGGAGGACGCGGAGGAGGGGGACGAGGGGGGAGGAGGAGGAGGAGGAGGAGGAGGAGGAGGAGGAGGAGGAGGAGGAGGAGGAGGAGGAGGAGGAGGAGGGTCGTGCTGATCCACCTCACCCTTGTCCCCTCCGAAACAGCCAGGACGGAGAACCCACGGCCGCCCCCAAGAAGCATGCAGACTCGAGCGATGGTGCCGAGGTGTATCGGCCACGGGGCCAGAAATCCTGCGATACGATCTCTCCAGCCAGCGGCCCCAAAACTCCCGACCCCTTCCTCGGGGGTAGTTCTGCGACCCGGACCCGTGTTTGGTGGCCCCCAGGCTCAGCGACGGGTCCCAGGGTGAATGGGGCCCAGGGACACACAAATGAATACACACAAATCCCAAGATTCCCCATTTTGTGCTGTTCCATATTTTCTGGATTTTCGTCTTCCCCCACCGGTTTTTTATTCCCATATTCCTCGGAATCGACGATGCATAGTGTCGGTGTGTTTTTTCCCCTCCCAAATTTGGTGGCCCCCGGGGGCCTGCATCGAGGAGTCGGAGATCTGCCGGCGGCGCGCCCAGGGGGGAGGTGAGCGGGGGCTGGCCCTCTCGGAAGGCGGGCAAGGGCTCCTCAGGGGCCCTCCTCCTCCGCCTCCTCCTCTTCCTCCGAGGCCGTCTGTGCGTCCTCGGGGACGGCTCACAGAAGGCCTCTCAGAAGGTGGGGGCCCTCGGAGCCTTCCGAGAAGGCTCACTCTCCTGCTGCCTCCCCCGACATGCGATGTTCTGATCTTTACCATACGAAAGCCCCAAAAAGGTCCGGACCCTTTCCCCAGGGCCCTTTTTGGTGTCCCGAATAATGTTTGACGCTCCCAGGAGGAGGAGGAGGAGGAGGAGGAGGAGGAGGAGGAGGAGGAGGAGGAGGAGGAGGAGGAGGAGGAGGAGGATGAGGAGGAGGAGGAGGAGGAGGAGGCCAGGGCCACCAGAGGCCGAATCTTGAGAAAAGAACCTCTGTGCGCATTGCAGTTCAGGGCGCTGCATGTCTGGGCCCCCCTCCTTTGGGCGCATCATGTGGGACCTGCTCTGAGAGCAGGAGCGTACCGTAGAAGGACCTGCCCTTTCTCCGACCTCGTACAGTCGGGGCGTTGACCTAAGGAACCCTAAATGAGGAACGAGGCCCCTTTTCTTCAGGAGTTCAACTTCGGCTTCCCATCGAAAATCCGAGGGCGACCTGGGGCAACATGCGAAACGATGCAGGAACACGGAGCCACTCCCCAACGAAGAGGATTCCTTATTCAGAGCCCCGACTGTACTGCGTCGAACGCAACGGCTGCGTTGTCTATCATACAAGCATCCACCCCGAAGGCATCTGTGTGAGAAACGACACCCCACGCTCCCACAGATGATGGTGGCTAGAACATGAGGGCGGTACTTGGCACATGCTCGAGATACTGGTCCTCTAGAAGCAGGCAGACTTTGCACTCCATCGGTGGCTCAAAGATGGGGCCCTGAGGGATGGGAATCATGATGATAGAAATCATCCAAGGGTGGATGCACACTGCCTGAGGCACCTCGTCCTTAGGACCCCATCCTTCAGGACCCCCTCTTTGAAGCCCGAGGTGGCGTTTGCCTCCGCGCCGTCTGCTCCGACGCGCGGCCTTGCGTCTTGGCGAGGGCGCCTCGGGCACCAAGACATACGCAGCAGAAGTGGGCAGACTTTGCCGGGCCTGGCCCGAGGGCCCGAACATGAGGCTGAGGAACACCACCCTGGTCCTTCTCCTCCTCCTCCTCCTCCTCCCTCTCCTCCTCCTCCTCCTCCTCCTCCTCCTCCTCCCCCCTCCTCCCTCCTCCCTCCTCCTCCTCCTCCTCCTCCTCCTCCTCCTCCTCCTCCTCCTCCTCCTCCTCCTCCTCCTCCTCCTCCTCCTCCTCCTCCCCCTGCCCCAATTGCATTCTCCTTTCCCCCTCCCCTTCTTGAGGCAACCGCCGCTTGCTGGAGGAGTTTCCACATTGGCCTTTGCAGGCGAGGACGCGCACGTGCAGCCCTGCCCCGGTAGCCAGGAGGTGCGTGACGCCCTTCCACGCTGCCTTCAGCGCAACGACGGCACACAAGTGGTGTAACGCTAGGCGGAGTCCAAGAAGTCCCCTGCCCTAGAAGCAGGCAGTCTCTGCACTCGAACACCGCCGAAACCGAGGGCCGCCGCAGGCTGAGCCCGCCGCAAAGGCTCCCGGCTTGTCGGGCGCGGGCAAGCCACTGTCGGGCGGGCCGTCGTCTCGCTCGGCCTCCTGCCAAGGGCCCAGCCGGGCGGCGGGGCAGGGGGAAGAGGGGGCCCAGGAGCAGGATGGGGCTCCTCCTCCTCCTCCTCCTCCTCCTCTCCTCCTCCTCCTCTCCTCCTCCTCCTCTCCTCCTCCTCCTCCTCCTCTCTCCTCCTCCTCTCCCCTCCTCCTCCTCCTCCTCCTCCTTCTCCTCCTCCTCCTCCTTCTCCTCCTCCTTCTCTTGCCTCTTGCCTCCTCCCTCCTCACGTTGATCAAATGTCTCGCAGCGGCTTTCCTGCTTCGGTGCCGTCGGGAGGAAGAGAACAAAAGCAGGAGGGAGCTGTTGTGGACCGCGCCCAACGCGGTGCCTCGCCAAAGACCCCGCCTCCGTCGGACTCGGGGTCGGAGCCCTCTCCCGACCCCTCACGAAGGTCTCTCTCTCTCTCTCTCCCCTCCTCCTCTCTCCTCCTCCTCCTCCTCCTCCTCCCTTTCGCCTCCTCCTCCTCCTCCTCCTTCTCCTCCTCCTCCTCCTCCTCCTCCTCCTCCTCCTCCTCCTCCTCCTCCTCCTCCTCTCCAGGTGCCTGGGCACGCGGCAGGCCAGACGCGGGCAGACCGAGCGCGAGCAGTACGGTCGCCCCCGTCGCGAAGCCCTTTGGGCCGAGTGCCCTTTGTCGCCCCCTTTCGAGGAGGAGGAGGAGGAGGAGGAGGAGGAGGAGGAGGAGGAGGAGGAGGAGGAGGAGGAGGAGGAGGAGGAGGAGGAGGAGGAGGAGCAGGGAGGAGCAGGAGGAGCAGGAGGAGCAGGAGGAGGAGGAGGAGGAGGAGGAGGAGGAGGAGGAGGAGGAGGAGGAGGAGAGGGAGAGGGAGGAGGAGGGGAGGAGGAGGAGGAGGAGGAGGAGGAGAGGAGGAGGAGGGGGGGGGAGGGGGATGAGGATGAGGATGAGGCGGAGGAGGAGGAGGAGGAGGAGGAGGAGGAGGAGGAGGAGGAGGAGGAGGAGGAGGAGGAGGAGGAGGAGGAGGAGGTAGGAGGGGGTGCAGGTCTGGCGCCTTGTCCAGGGGGGCGGCCAGACGCCGAGGAGCAGAACGCCGCCGCCCTCCGCCCCCCTTCGACCGCAGTCGGGGGGCGCTGCCTCAATTCTCTTTGCCTGGCTGCGGTCGGCGAGGGGGGGGAGGGTGCAACGGGGCCAAGAACGGGACGAGCACGGATCGGGGCACATCGGGACCACATGGAGCTGGAATCGGCCAGTGCATCGCCACCAGGATCTGCGATGTGCCCTCGACAGCGAGCTCCGCGTGCTCCTGGCGAGGCGGACCATCGGGGCCCCGTCGGCGATGAAGGGGCGATTGGGGGTCGGTGACCCCCCCCCACTGAGCCGAGCCCCTCGTGACGTTGCCTCCAAAGTCTCGGGCCACAGCTCGGCTCTCCCTCGGCCGTTCGCGACGAGCTGGGCACCCCTGGCGGAGCGCTCTCGGCGAGGCGCGGCCACTGGGAGGCACCCCGGGGCTGCAACGCCCACGAGAGCGGACGGCAACGCCTGAACATATGGAATCGCCTAGACCCCGATGTCATGCTTTTTCCCAGCCGTCCTGTGGTGCTGGGTCCTCGTTCTGAAGAGACAGCGCCCCGCGTCTCACTCCTCTCTTCCGCCCCCTCCCCTCTCTCTCCTCCCATCCTCCTCCTCCTCCTCCTCCTCCTCCTCATCATCATCATCATCAGCATCATTACCAGCATCAGCAGCATCACCACCATCGTCATCATCACCATCATCATCATCATCAGCATCATCAACATCATCACCACCATCAACATCACCAGCATCACCACCATCATCATCATCGTCATAATCACGATCATACTCTTCATCATCATCATCATCATCATCATCATCAGCAGCAGCATCATCAACATCACCATCACCACCATCAACATCATCACCACCATCAACATCACCATCACCACCATCAACATCATCACCATCACCATTATCATCAACATAGTTATCATCATCATCACCATCATCCTCCTCATCATCATCACCACCATCAACATAATCATCATCATCGCCGTCACCATCGTAACCATCATCGTTGCCGTCATGATCACCATTATCGCCATCATCATCGCCGTCATCATCACCACCATGGCCGCGCATGCCGGCACACCAGTCGCACGTCCGTGGCCCCATAAGAGCTCTACCGAAGGCCACAATGGAGCTGTTCGCATGTGTCTCCGCAGCCGCATCACATGACGGCACACCCCTCACACGTTTCATGGTTTCATGGGGGGTCCACCTAAGGCCCAAGTGGTGCAGTTCGCATGCAGCCCCGCCACCCATTTCGGCGCACCCTTCACACGCTTTGTGGCCCCATAAGGGGCTCCACACGAAGCCCCAATAGTGCCGTTCGCATACGTCCGCGCCGCCCATTTCGGAACACCCCTCGCAAGTCTCGTGGCCCCATAGGGGAGCTCTACGTAAGGTCCCAAGGGTGCCGTTCGCAGACGTCCCTGCCACCCATTTCGGCTGACGAGCTCGCCTCGACGACAAGCTGCCATGCTGGCAAGTATGATCACGCGGCCAGCGGCCAACACTTCGCATGTGAAAATGGGCTGCGAATTAGCATCGCCGTGATGTGTCGACAACTCGGCCGATCAATTGTTGCATGTGTCTGTGTCTGGAGGCTCTCTGGGAAACCAAAACTGGCCAAAAACTTCCCGGTGCTATTTTTCCCTGCCCCGTCTGCTCGCCCGTTGTTTCTGCGTCCTTGAGCGGCAGTTCGACAGCGGCCTGGAAGCGGTGGAGCCGTGCGGCGCTGGCACTCACATCGGTTGGCGTCCGTGTGCGCACGCAAGTGGTAGGGCAGCACTGTGATACATATGTATGTATGTATGTAGGTAGGTAGGTAGGTAGGTAGGTATGTATGTATGCATGTATGTACGTATGCATGTATGTATGTATGTATGTATGTATGTATGTATGTATGTATGTATGTATGTATGTATGTATACATGTATGTATGTATGTATGCATGCATGCATGTACATACATAAGCAATTGTATTCATACGCGCAAATTTGAGCTATGCACACGAGTGGCACGTGCGTGCCCAGGATCATACAACAATCATTGCAGCACGCAGTCATCGCAGACCATGGACAAGAAGAGGAATATGAAGTCGGATCCGAGGAGGGGCAGGGGGAGGAGGAGGAGAAGGAGGAGGAGGAGGAGGGAGATGCAGATGCAGAGGAAAAATGAGAGAAAGGCGGATAATGAGGATCACCAGGGGGCTGTTGTGATGAAGGTGCAACAGCGGGATCGCACTCAAGCGCAGTTCGGGTTGCCACACCTCCACACGTGGCGCAGGAGGGTGTTCCACACCTTGCGATTGCAATTGAAAAAAGCTCCGAAACCAATCCCTCTGCGAAACTGTCGTTTTGAAACGTAGAAATGCGACTTTGAACCCGTCGGGTTTCAAATTGGGGGGATGTCTTGAGCAAACGTCTGTTTTTTATCTGAGCGACGTCCAAGTTCATTCAAACCCATGGTGTTCTTGAAGATTGTGTGCGCAACTGTGACAAACACATGTTTCTGGTACCTGACGTCGCGATCTGCGTGATGGGTGCCCGATCGTCGCACTTTGAAGGTGCCACGAGCGAAATGGCCAGAAACAGAAAGACACGACTTCAACTTATCGTCTCTGAGCCCTGCTTCCTTGGAGAGGTGCGTTCGGGAATACATGTATATATATATATATAGTTGTATATACAAAACTATTCTTATACACATATATCTGTATATATATATATATATACGTAAATGCGCGCAGCCTCTACCCCCATAGTGCCCACTGATCGTGTACATCTCTTTTGACGGTGGCCTTCTGTCCTCTTCGTCTCCATTCGTGCTCTTCTTCTCCTAATCCTGTTCCTCATGTTGTGCGTCGATCCTCCTCTGCCTGTGACTTCTCTTCCTCCTCTTCCTGCTACTGCGGACCCTTCTTCTTTGTGCTTGTCTCCTCAGCCTCCTCTTCCTCATCCGATGAGGCAGAGAGGCAGAGAGACAGAGAGAGAGAGAGATACTTGAAGCAGCGATCCCTGTGAACTCGCATGGTTTGCGAGGTAAGGGGGCGCCTGCCTCTGTGATTTCACTTGGGGTTTTTGGATTCCGGATATGGGAATCCCAGAAGCCATGTGATTATGTTAGAATTTGCAGGATATCTGGGGTTTCACATCCTCAAGCCATCATCCACGCTGCAGCCCTCCAGAGCTCAGAACCGCAGCAACCACAGAAATACAAACACTCCAAATGAAACCAGATGGTCTCTGGGATCCTCACGCCCGGCATCCCAGGAATCGCACCGTAATTCCACAGGGATCGCTGCTCCCTCTGGGGTCTCTTTTTCTCACTCTCTCTCTCTCTCTCTGTCTCTCTCTCGCTGCCTCTCTGCCTCCCGGCCTCATCGGAAAGGGGCGAGGAGGTCCTCCTCCACTTCGCGGCGCGCAGAGGGGCTAGGGGGAGGGGGAAGGCTTCTTCGAAGCGGGCTGCTTCTTGGAAGGCGCCGTCCTTGCATCTTTAGAGAAGGCCCGCGCCTTCAAAAAAGCAGGGGTGCTTCTAAGAAGCCTTCCCCCCTCCCCCTGCCCCCCTGGAGGAGGAGGGGGAGGAGGAAGAGGAATAGGAGGAGGAGGAGGAGGAGAAGAGGAGGAGGAGATTTCTTCCGACCGCTTGACGCGGGGCGGCGCGGCTGGCAGGGCTACGCGGCGCGGCGTGGCCCCTCTTCCTTTCCCGTTGAGGCGGAGGGGCAATGAGACAGAGGCAGAGGGAGAGAGAGAAAGAGAGAGAGAGAGCGAGAATCTACAGAGAGCAGGGATCCCTGTGACATCGCATGGCTCGCCAAGCAAGAGGGCGCCAGACCCTGTGATTTTTTAAGATGGATGTTTGGGATTTCTGGTGTGGGAGTCCCAGAAGCCATGTGATGCCATTTTGAGGTTACGTTTCTTGGGAAGGGAATTTTCAAATGTCTGGAGGGCTGCA